GATCCCAGATTCAGTTGACTATAATATAGTCTACTTATGTAGCTTCTGGCTGCATGCTTCCGTGCTCTTCACTGTCTCTTCTTGGAAAGCTTTTAGCCTGATCCTGGCTAAAGTCCAATTTAGGTTACTAAACTCTACAGTAAGGTCCCCTTTTGATTGAACCGCAACAGTCTTGCTCTTGAGCTCAACAGTTATGTGACTGTTAAAATCCAGTAGGCAGTTACTGTACTTGCAGCTTTTTGGTGAATGTTTGGAATGAATGCAGGATGTGTTTAGAATTTATGTTGTCACAAATGTGTAAGCGTTTGGAGACTGATTATATAGGAACTTTCTTCAAAGCTACTGCTGCTTGTAGAGAAATGCGTGCAGGTGTCCTTTTTCTCCACTATTCCTGAATTGCTTCTGCAAGATCAGGAACTTCTATAGGCTAAGCTAGTTAAATGCTGAGTGTTTCTGAAGCCCATCCTTAACATTTTTATCATAAAGCCCATTTAGGGAGAGACTGCCTATCAGCTTATGTGGGATCATTCTTAATAATGCAGGTTTACATAGTGTTGCATAACAATTGATTCTAGTCCACTTGATGTGTCAAATCCAGGGGACAAAGATGGAAGAACATGAGGGATAGAACAAAGATAATGTGAGTCTCTTTAATAATGAGGTTACTAAGTGTACTGCCTTAATTTAGAACAGGAGCTGGAAAAACTTATTTGGCTCTGAGGGTGGGTCTGGACTACAGGGCTTCCTGCAGGCTGGAATTTGACCAAGGGCAATAGCAGCGTTAATACCTGCAGTTGACAGACCTGCTGTGCGTTAGCATGGCTCCAGAACCCTGGGAATTGGCTTTGTTACTTCATGGCTTCCTCCTTTTCCCCTCACAAATGCCAGAGATGATTTAGAAACCATGATTTGGGTGGTGGTGGAGAGAGGTGTTACTAAAATAGCGTAGTTATATTTGCTTGCTCCTAGTGCTGAACTAAGTAGTATCATCTCAGCACAGTGCTGCCTGGCATTGTGGGAACCTTTTGCTAGTGAAGCTGGGCAACTCCTAACCATTCCTTGTATCTTCCCTTTTGATCCACCCTTGTGGCATCTCTGGGCCACCAGGTGAGAACCCCTATTATACTGAATGGGGGTTAGGTGTGTTATGGATGGCTTGCAGATGTTCTCTGAATTTCTACGTTTTTGGATACTGCTTGCGGATGCTGCCCTAGAATTCAGGACTGTCCCAAAAGGGTGTATAGTCAGCTAACTGTACTCCTCAAACTAGTGAGCCCATGGAAAATGAAAGTGCTTGCAGAGTTGAAGTTGGTGGGTGAAGCAGAGGTGATCAAGCAGGTGAAAGGCTGGGGAGTTGGTGCATGCCTGTAGTCAGTGATTGGCAAACACTGAAAGAAATTCAAAGTTAAAAGTTCAATGCTGATTAACTCCAATGACATGAAGACTTCAGCAGGTGCCTGAAGAGGACTCCTGTTCCCTACTGGGAGAGATCAGACCTTCAAGAGTTGGTCCTAAGAGGTTTCTGCAGCCTAGTTACTGTTCAGTGAGTGAGCTGGGTCAAACTGCTGGCTCAGTTTAACCCAGGGGTGCTCAGTGTCTGGCCTGCAGGCCTTGGAATCTGGCCCACAGGGCTCCCCACCGGTCACGAAATTTGACAGCAGGGGAGCAGTGGTAGCTAATACTGCCACCTCACCCACTACCAAAATCCCAAGCCCTATGGAGTGGATAGTTGCCAGGCTGTACCCCCTTCCCTCCTTGTGGCTGATTGGGGCTGGGCTGTGCCCCCTTCTCCCCTTGGCTGGGCCATGCCCCCTCGCCCTATACATTTGGTTCCCCTATGGGGCTGGATCAGGGCTGGGCAGCTCCTACACTCCCCTCTGGAGCCAGATTGGGTCCACCAATTGTATCCAGCCTATGGAGGGACTGGATGCTGCCCATCTGGCCCACTAGACAAAAAAAGGTTTTTTAACACTTAACTCTGAGTGGCTGTCTAGTCTGACTTTGATATCTGTTACGAAATATTTTGTATGGAACATGGAAACCAAATTTTTAAAGCGTAGCTCTATCAACAATCTGGGATTTGGGGGCAATTTTGATCTGTAGCAACTATTCTCCCTTGGCATCTGTTCTGGATCATATAACACGAACTGTGCACTGTATTTTAGCAGAGAATTCCAAGTCTCAAGTGCTGTGCAGTACTAGAAATACAGCATTCTTGTTCAGTGCTTTGAACATGCTCCCTTTTATCTTTTGTAGCGTTTTAAAGGAGGAAGATTAAAGACCTAGGCTGTAGGAGATACAGTTCAATAAAAGTAGTAATGGGCTGGGTCCTGAGGGAGCTTGTTCTTCTGAGATGGGTATTATTTGGATATAGTGAAATCAATGACTTGGATCACGGTAATTTTTAAATATTGTGAGGTTTTGGGACAAAGTGTAGGGTTTGGTTCCCTGCCACTGCTTTCCCTGCTTTAGTGCTGGTGGATGAATTTAAGATGACCCTCCACTAATTATTTCTCTGAGAAAATTGTCACAGATTTATAAGTTTTCCATGTACAGAATTTAATTATTGGGAGATGGTTTTAAATTTGAAGCCATCTTGGATTTCTAGTGTAACCATCATCTATAGTGGCAAAGCCTTCTAGTGCCGGGGTTTTCAACTTTTTTGGATCAGTGTGTATACCTGGCAGCTGGACAGGGAGCAGTGTACCCATGGTGGCTGGATGCAGGAGGGTGGCATGCAGTTGAATGTGGAGCGGCAGCAGCCACCACGTGCAAGCTGACCCTGCCTCCTGTGTCCAGCCAGGTGGGCGGTGCCTGTGTGACAGCGTGGGGTGGTGCATAGCGGCACTCTGTCTCCGCCTGCCTGCACGTACCCTCTTGGGCCTTCTCAAGTACCCCTGGTTGACAGCTCCTTCTCTAGTGGATCTTCACCTGCAAAGCCTGTGTAATGTAGACTTGCTGTTACTGAACTGTTGGGAGGAACCAGTGCTTCCTCCCTGTAGCAATAGCTGACTCTTTTTCCCCTTGTTTCTTTTAGGCTAACATCAAAATGTGTTGAAGAAAGGCATATGAGGGTATTTAGTTTATGATCTTCTATGACCAGGTCACATCACAGGCAGCCACTCTTTGCTCCAGCATTCCTTTTGCCTATCTGATTTTCCTCAATCATGGATGATGTCAGGGCAATCTGCAGGCTTTGAAACATTTTCAGAGAATCTGAAAAGGCAATTCCCCTTTTCTTCCCCTACCTTTTTTTTTCATTCCAGCTTAAATAGCCTTTCTTAACTGATCTATCTGGTAAATTGTTCTTGGACAGAGATGCAAATATGTTAACGTGTACCACTGACAGGTGGTCTGTATAACACTGTGGTACCCATACCACAGATTGGGAACTGCTAGTCTAGGTCACAGATAACAAGGACATGTCTCTTAACTGTTTAAGAGTTCAGTAGCCCCTTAAGGTTATTCCCTTACAGTCCCTTTTATAGCAGAATGACTACAGTAATTTGCTCTGTTGTGAGGTGTTAAAGCTAGCTGCTAGGGCTGTGAGAAACAGCACTGTTCCGATTTGACTTGCGTTTTGATGATTCTATGGAACAGTGTTTTGTTTCGGGTTTCGTTTCATTTTGAAAGCACTGTTCTGTTTTGTTTCGCCAAAACTGTTTTGCTGTTTCGACACTGTTTCAACGTCTCGCCCATAGGTAATTATGGGGAAACATAATGTAGCAGACAGGCAGATCAGGGGCTTGCTGGCACCCCTGGGAAGGCTGCAAGGGCTGTGCTGGAGTCCTCCCGGGGGTGGGAGCTTCTGATCTGCCTGCCAGATGAGAGAAGCCGGGTGCTGCCGCCTGGGACCAGCGCTGGGAAGATTGCTGCTGCTTCTCTAAACCAGCAGGCAGATCGGGGTCCACTGGCACCCCTGGGAGCGCTGCGGGGGCTGTGCCGGACTGCTCCCGGGGGTGCAGGCCCCCATCTTCCCGCCTGGTGACAGGAGCTGGGTGCTGCCGCCTGGGGCCAGCGGCAGCACCAATCTTCCCAGTACTGGGTGTGAGCTGTGCCCAGTGCCAGTTTGTCATCTGGCAGGCAGGTGGGGGGGGGCACACCCCTGGGAGGACTCTGGCACAGGCCCCCGCAGCCCTCCTGGGGGCCCCAATCTGCCTGTAGGATGACAGGAGGCGGGTGCTGCTGGCTGGGACCAGTGCTGAAGCCAGTAAGCCTGGCTTCAAAACTTGAAACTTTTGAAACATTTAGAGTTCCCTTGTTTCATTTCAAAGGTGTTCCAGAGGCTTTTGTTTCATTTCAATTTCACTGTTTCAAGCTCCAAATGCATCAAAACAGCTTCCAAAAGAAGCACCAGGTAAAATTTCGCACAGCCCTACTGCCTGCCTCTTTCCTTTAATTTCTAGTATTTGCTTGTTCTTGGTAAGCCTTAAGCCTCCTTGAAACTTAAGTCTAGTTAACAGCCACTTTTAACTTATATGATGTATTCCTGAGTGTCATCTAGCTATCATGAGCTATTCACCTTGATCTGGGATGATGTCAAGATGATTTGTCTCTTCATAGCTTCCAAGAGTGTTTCAAAACCTGGTGTCGTTCTTGTTCGCTTGAATGTGATACTTAGATATTTGATAGTCTTTAGTTTCTTTATTCAGAGTAGATGAAGGGCAATAGATTGGCTGTGTGAGGGATGCTTACACAAAGGGGCCATTTCTGCTGCTCTTTACCCAAAACTACTCCTTTTAAAATCAACTGAGTTGTTCTATTTTTAAATATTTTCTAGCCCTTTGTAGTTGGAGAGGGTACCCTCAGATCTTGAAAGATGGGGGCTGGGGTGTGGGGACAGTATGCAATTCCTGACTTGTACAGTGCTGTATACACAAGGTCGGTTTAATTTTTTCCCCCATTTTACAGAATGGTGGGGGAAGGTGAGGGGGTGGGGGAACTGAAGTACAAAGGAGAATAACTTGTTCAAAGTAATATAGCAAGTCAGTTCCCAAACTGGTGGAGGAACTATATCCTGAGGTCCTGTTGCTGCTTTGGGCAGTAAGGTATTCTTCTGCCCACAGCTTGATACACAGAAAATTCTGGCTGCTTTTAAGATGCGAGTGAACAATGCAGCTGATGCTACAGAGAGTGGGTGTTTTGGGAATCTAGGTTAACTTAGTGTGTGTTGGAAGAAATTTATTTGAAATAGCCAGGAGGTATTTTATATGTACTGAGATTTAATAAAAGAGGTTTTTTTTGGGGGGGTATAGTGTGTGTTGGGGGGAGGGTGTGCACCTATTTAATAGAATTATTGTCAAAGGAGAAAACTCCTATACTCTGAATCTGTTAGACACTAGTAACAAAATAAATGCTGTAGGGAGTGATAAATGACAAACAATTTGGCGCAACTTACTTTAAGCGGTCATTGTAACTGAAGCTTAGCATAAGAAACTAATTCCAGAAAGTCTTAAGTTTGGGTGGAAACAGCTGGCATATAAAAAGAAACTTTGTTTGTTTGTTTTTGTTTTGTTTGGTTTTATTTGCTTGCAGTGCTCTTTGTAGCCCAGTCCAGGAGCATTTGAAAACTGATCATATTTAGCTGGTGACAAGACTTCCATGGAATTTGTCTTATTTTTATTATGTGACACTAAATGAGCTAAATCCCCCTGTGCTTTCCACAGCTCGGTGGTATAGTTCAGCTAGCTTTTCTAAAAACTGGGAGTAGTTTTTAGCTATTGGTCTTAAAAATACTTCCTTTGATGCTTGAAAGGTGTGTAATTGCCTCTTGAATTGAATTACTAGTTTTTGAAATCTCCTTTTTATCTGACTCATTGGGAAGATCACATCTACAATAGCTGAAGGCTGTTGGCAAAGCCTTTGTGTTAATAGGTATGTTAAGGACATACTGTCCAGAAAATGCTAAATGTTTAACTGTCCTTAAACATGGATTGTGGAAGGGCCGATGTAGCTTGTTTTACTTCTGTCATCAATGGAATGCAGCTAATATTTACAGACCTGATTTATTGCGCATGCGTGCATGCATGTGTGTATATAATTAAAAAATCCTAGCAACATATTGCTACTGATTTTTGATTCTCTGACAGCTTTCATAGGTAGTATCTTCCTACATCTCTCGCTCCAAAAGCCATAACCTGGAACAACTGTATGTGTTTGTTCACACCAAAAACTTTGAAGTCAGCTATAAGACACTGATCTCTCAAGGAGAGCACTAGACAGACTTTCAGATGTTCTTCCAATAGTAACCCATTAAAATGACTTTCTAGTTCAGTGGTACTCAACCTTTTTTGCCTGTGGGCCAATTGGCAGTGTCTGGCCCCTTTGTGGGCCAGATCCAGCTGGTGTTCCTGATTTAGTGTCTGGGTGGACACCATCAGCTGTGGGGGGAGGGGGAAGAAGCTCGACCCGGCCTGTGGAGAGGGAAGGGAGTGTGGCCTGGGTGAGGAGGGGCACGGCATGGCCAGGCCTCAACCTGACTTCACTGGGAGGGAAGGGTGTTTGGCTCAGCCCTGTGAAGGGGGAGAAGGTGTGACCAGGCCCTGATCTAGAAGTTGTGGGGTGTTGGGGGTGTAGCTTGGCCTCACAGGGACAAGAGTCACAGTCTGGCATGCCACATGAGGCTTGGGGTTTGGGAATTTGGCAGGGGGGAGGGTGACCATAGTAATGGTCACTACTCCCCTGCTGCCAGATTTCCTGACCTGTGGGGAGCCCTGCAGGCCAGATGCAATGCATCTGTGGGCCACATTTGACCGATGGGTTGGAGGTTGAGCACCCCTGTTCTAGTCTTTCTGGATTAGGAGTCTGTGGCAAGAATAAGCTATCTTTTTGGGGGGGGGGGAAAGGAAGGAAAGGTGCCATAACACTCAGTATAAATATAATTGCTGCTAGCTCACATGTCCAGCAGATGGCAATAAAAGGAAAAAAATAATGCTCTTCTAAGAAGCTTGCTCAGATTGCGGGATTTTAGCTTGAAGGATGCTATACAGATGCAACAATCCTACAGTGTTGTCTTGTTTTTTGGGTTTTTTTGTTACTCCTGAGTGTGGGATTTGGCGCCACAGGTTTCCAGACCAGAAGGTAAACGTTGGATAGTTCATATTCTAATAGGGAGGGAAACCTAATTGGAATTCTCCCCTTGACATTTGGGTTGAAAAGCTCCACCTTATTGCTTATAGCGTGCTGTTCCATAGAGTTCCATTTAACCTAGCTGTATTGGCATAATAGTGTTGTTATTGCTTCTTTGCATCTCCTGGCTTAGGGTTGTGTTTGGGGTTTTTTTTTGGGGGGGGCAGTGGCAGAGGGATGACAGAAGGGGGTACAGATTTCAAGCATTGGTATAGATTAGAATATATATCTGCACATACTGCCAAAAAGCTAACTGTGACAGGCAGCACGGCTTAAAGATTTTTTTTTTCGAGCATTACAGAACCGGCTTTAGCGTTGTAACAAACTTATCAAAATTAATAATGTTTCTTCTCCATTGCTGTTCTTAATTTTCAGATCTGCCAGCATTACTAACCTGTCATTGGATCGATCTGGTTCACCCATGGTGCCTGCATACGAGACATCTGTCAGTCCCCAGGCTAATCGTACATATCTGAAAGTGGAAGCCAATGAAGATGAGCGTAAAATTCTTTTGGTACAAACAAGATTTTATTTGGGCTATGGTGGCAACGCATGCTGTCTTTCTCATACCATAATGTGTACAAGATGATCTGCTCAGGTCCCTTCCGACCCTACCAACTATGAAACTATGAATCTTGCTGCCTTGCCTTTGAGTAAACACACCTGAAGACCCAGAGAACACTTGTCCCTATAGGTTATCAAATTCTGCATAGGTATAGTTGTTATTTTAATGTGAAAAAAATTTCATCCGTTGAATGAATGGAAAGGACTACAGGTCACATTGAGTCATGTTTTGATCTTCTCACCCTGTTTGCTTGCAGAGTCAATGTAATACTTTAGTGACGCATTTTTTTTCCAAGGAAAAATCAATGTTAATAGTACAACACACTGGAAATATCCTGTTAAAAACTTTGTATGAACTGGGGATGGGTGAAGAAGGCAGACCTGAAGTGTTAATGTTTAATAACTTTGAAAACCGACTTTCAAATATTAAGTGCTCTGTAGACATGAACATCACCCAAGAAAATGTAGTGCACTGGAAAGGCTGTTATATAATGATTGGCACTGGAGTCCAATCCTGGGTACTGTACAGGAGGCCAGGGGATAGGTGACCTGGGAATACACCATATGCCCGCCTGCTAAATTTGATTAATATAATAGGATGACTCAAAAATCCAAAGAACTATTTTGCAACATTTCCTGGCAAGTCTACTAGTCCATTACAGAAGTGAGAGTAAAAGACTACTGATCAGAATTAATAAAATATTCTGTTAATTTTCCTCTTTAAAGAGTAAAAAAAAAAAAATGGTTTAGGACCTAAACAAATACTTCAGGAGTTTTGGCTTTTTTTGTCTTAACTTGGAAATTACAGGAATAGTAAATCTGATCTTGTTGACATCAGCCATGTAATTGAACTATGCTGTAATAGAGCCCCTCATCATCCACATGGGTGTAGTTGTGTAGCTACTATTTACTTTGGAACCAAATTGTAGTGTACCTGACCCAGAAAGTATGACGCTTGTTAACATCTTATGTAAATAAGGGTATTATGGCCTGTCAGCAGAGTTATGAAGCCAGCAATGTACTCAAACACCTATTAGAATGGGGCAAGGTTGTAAATATTTAAAATAATTACCTTAAAAATAAAATGCAGATAATGCCAAGAATGGCTGGAGTACCAAACCTTTGTGGAGAAACCCTAAGTAATGATGTGTGTCTGAGAATTATTCTCATGGTAATTCTCTCTCAGTGAATGTAATTAAAGGTGAAGAGAGATGCAAGTGTGGTTTCTTATCATGCTGGAGATAAGTTTATCTTTGTGAAAGTGAAGAAGCCTGATTAGTTTGGGAGAAGGAAGTGCCTTGTATCTGCGGAAGACAAAACCCTAATGATTTGAAAGGGCTACAGAAGATAATACCAAGTTGGGCTTGGGTGGAAAATTAACTAAAAAATTGAGTAGGCATAGGCAGGGAGAGATCCTTTAAGAGATGTGATTGCTCTTGCATAGGACAGCTGAAGGGATCTGGAATGCTGTGGAAACAGTTGCAGGCCTTGTCACTGCAGAAGCTCATTGTAAAAATACTACTGCAGGAACTCTTCTCCCCTGCATTTGGGTATTGGGTAACTTTTTTTGTTTTGCTGTCTCATCCCCACTTTATAGGGTCACTGCCTGTAAGGCAAACGACTTTAAAGGTCTGTTCCAATCAGTCCATACTTAACTACAGCTGCACAGAACAGCTTAACTTTTATTTCTATTACTTTACTGATGTAAAGTCAGTTTGAGGGCTCAGAATGCTGCTGTGTAGGCCTTTTATACCATTTATCATTCTTTTATAGGACTCAGTACAGTTAAAAGACTTGTGGAAAAAAATTTGCCATCATAACAGTGGAATGGAGTTTCAGGACCACCGTTATTGGTTGCGGACACATCCAAACTGCATTGTAGGAAAGGAACTGGTCAACTGGCTCATCAGAAATGGGCACATTACCACAAGGTATTCCTGCTATTTTAACTAGGTGTAAATTAGACCAAATCCATCTCCTGCAACTGTGTTGATGGAGGAAGTACTTTCAGTGGTGTATGCTCTTGTGTGTGTGGATCAATAGCTAAATAAGAGATGTGACTGATCTTCCTGATGTCTCCAAACCAAGGGGGAAAATACCTGTAGCCAACATACACATTTTTGCTGATGTGCTAAAATGAAGTAGCAAGTAGTACCAGTAATTTAGGACTCTTCACAGACCTTCCTTTTTATGTTTTTTACTTTTGTGTCAGTTGCCCTAGCCTGGAGTGTAGTATTGGTGCTAACTAGGCAGAGATACAGATTACTGGAGATCCCAGAATGCAAATTCAAAATCTAGGGTTGGGAATTAAATTAAATTGGGTTTATTGTGTAATGGGCAAACTCAGCACTTCTTGAAGCATAAAGAATTATCCACATCTTACAGGATGGAAGGGCAGAAAGTGAAATTGTTCTTTTGCACAGGAGAGGCCTATTCCTTGAATACCGAGGACCTAAAATTCTGACAAGTCAGTGGGAGCTGGGATAGTGTGTCAGGGAAAGGTGACCAGCACATCAAAAATTTAGCTGTACTGGATTTAGGATTTAAGTGTATGGAGGCTCTGTTTTTTACTTCTAATCCTGCTGCTTGGTCTGCTAATCCTGGTGCTTCTCTAGTGTATTTAAATAGATCCTGGCTAATCAAAAGAGTATAAAATAAAACAGTTGAATGATCTGTCTGACACCTGTCTTTAGTATAAGCTCTTTATTTATTTATTTTCAATTCTGTTCTACATTCAGAGCTCAAGCCATAGCAATAGGACAGGCATTGGTAGATGGACGCTGGCTGGAGTGTGTCAGTCACCATGACCAGATCTTTAGAGATGAATATGCTCTGTACAGGCCATTACAGGTACATTTTTTTTGTTAATTCCTTTTCTCCTGTCTCCTATTTTTAAGAAAAGAAACCATGGAATTCAGTTGGGAATGGAAGGAAAGCTAAGAGAGACATTCCTGGTCACATTCTGCATGTTCTGTCTGCTTCTCTCGTGCTTGAGAACTGGTTCACAAGTCTTGCATCATGTCTTCTGCAGACTTGTTTGGCAGGGGTATGTGTGTATATAAAGATGCACAAATCTGATTAAGCTACCAAAGTGACTTAATTTCATTAAATTACAGTGGATATTCCTTTACCAAGAAAACTTTGAAACTTCCTCTGAGGGTGGGGGGAAGGTAGCCACACAGAAATTTATCAGATCTTAAATACTCCTTTTCAGGCTAACGTCATGAAGAGTAAGCATCTGGATAGTAAAGGATGCACTCTGGGCAGCTGTTCTGTTGTCTGTCACCCTATTACATATGTACTCTGTTGTTCAGTATGGTGGGTACTGGTAAATGACTGCTGTCTCTGTGAATGATGAGCAGAGAGGAGATTAGTGTGAAGTCAGGTATAAGACAGGATAGAGATGCACCATATAGACTAACTAACTAAATCAGAGTCAGAGATGCAAAAGCTTTCATGAGCCTGAGCTCATCTCATCAGATGAAGTAAGCTCAGGCCCATAAAAGCTTTGTGCATCTCTGATTTTAGTTAGTTTATAAGGTGCATCTCTACCCTGCCTTCTGTGAATGATGTCATCTTTATAAAAGATAAAAGGTCTAATAAAAGATATCAGATTCACCCAAAGAACCTTGTCTGCCTGTGTCCTTAGGTCAACACAGCTACAACCTACACGCCTGTCATCTTTTATTTTAAATTCTTTCTTTAAAGACTGTGGGGAATGTAGTATACTCCTCGAGAGAGAATAGCTCAATTCAGGATAAAAAGGCGCTTACAGGTGGTAACACACAGATCAGGGAATTTGATCTCTCTCTTCCTAATAAGCGAAGAGGCTTTACGGTGGGAGGAGTCCTCTTTCCTATGAATGGCCCCACTCCTTATTGTTTGAACTGCAGTCTGGAGACTGGAAGCAAGGCCCTGAGTAAGAGAATTCTGTTATGGAAGATACTGTGTAGTCTTTGGCACAAGCTAACTGACGCATGCTGAGAGGTAAGAACTGATGCTGATTTCCAGTTCAGTTTTAGACTGATCTGTGGAAGGACTCTCTGAAGCTTTCAAAACAAAGAAGCTTCTGTTGCAAATTAGTCTTATTATGCAATTCATAATGAACTCCTGACTTAATAGGTCAGCCCTTGCATGATCTTTAATTGTATCTAAAGTTACTTTTAAATTGTGTACAGTCCCTTTGGCATGTAGTTACAGAGTTGATTTGCTTTCTTATTCCTCTGTGATCAGAGCTTACTCTGATCTTGTTTCTGAGCAAACCTGAAACAATTTTGAAGTTGGGAGAATTAAACAGGTCCTAGTGAATTCCAAACCCAATTATACAATGCTAAAGCAAGTACTAGAGAGTAGGTGAATTTCTTCCATCAGAGAAGTTCCTCCTGACTGGAATTTGCAGAGTAGGTGCTCTTTAAGATTCCTATCAGAGCCTTGTTTCACAACAGTATCTCTTGATGTAGAGAGCTGGACCTGTTTCACAAAGGAACCTCACACCACTGTTTGGTTAGTCCTAGAATTGAGTGTCTAAACATATGTGCTCCTTCTCCATGGGTTAAGCATGCTGACTTGGAAACAAGTTCAACACTCAAATCTGCCATGTTGTGAGAGTGGATGGAAAACATACACTAAAACTAATCTTAGTCATTCAATGATTCACTTAAGGGGTCAGGGTGAAGTGATTAGGAGGAAGATGGGTGTGGACAACGTGAGAATATATTTACTTCCTGTCCTAAACAGTTGCCTTTTTCACCCTGGTGGTGGGGGGGATGATGCTGGATTAGTTACTAAACTAATTTCATTTGTGCATTTTTAAGCCTAATATCAAACTACTATGTTAGATGTTGCTTCAGACCAGGATACTTGGTACCTTTTTGAGATCTTAGGAGGGCTAAATCAACGTAGTCTCTTTTCTTGGTCTCTTAGAGCACAGAGTTTTCAGAAACTCCCTCTCCAGACAGTGATTCAGTGAATTCTGTAGAAGGGCACTCTGAGCCATCATGGTTCAAAGACATCAAATTTGACGACAGTGACACAGAACAGATTGCTGATGAAGGGGAAGATAACTTGGCCAGTGAGTTTCAACTAACTTTTTTTTTTTCCCCCCCCCACTCCTTCCCCTACTTCCAGGGCAAACTAGCATAACTCCTTAAGTGTGAACTCTGCTTTGCTTATAGTAGCTATAAAGATCTAAATAAACTATGATCTCACTAGTCCTATTGCTTGTAGCAGATACAGTATTTCATAATTAGTATGACACTCCGTGTTTCTAAATTTAGTATAAGCTTTATTACAGAAGTAAACAGTCTAGCTGTGACTTTTCTCATGGCAGGCTTCACTAATGTAATTTGGATTTTAGAGTGAGCATCTAAAGCATTTCTTTGCAACACCCCATTACGTACAGATAAAAAATAACATAAAACTATGAAAATACTGTATCCCTTTTAGTACTGCACACTGGGCTTTTATGTATTAAAGACCGTTTTTCTCCTGTCCAATCCCCTCATGATACCCATTTGAACCCCTCTCCTCCCTATATCTTCCCCCTTACCCAACACTAAAAGACTCCGCCAGCCCTAGCAAGCGCACCTCAGTCAGCAGCTTCCAGTCCACAATGGACAGTGACTCAGCCGCTTCCATCAGCTTGAACGTGGAGTTGGACAACGTGAACTTCCATATCAAGAAGCACTCCAAGTACCCACATGTGCCCCCTCACCCTGCTGACCAAAAAGGTATGAGATTAGTTGACAGCTGGAGTTGCACATGATGGAGAGCCATATCCTGATAACTTATTACTATTTTTTGTTTGGTGGCCACTTTGTGCATATAGTGCATCTTTTTTGCTAATCACTGCCACCCAACCCTTGACAGTATTGCCTCTGTAGAAAAGTTTAATGAGCCAGCTGTAGCCAGCTACTCTACAGTGTGTGCAACTTCTGTAGTAGTTTTTTCTCCATGCATTTGGAGGATATCCTTCCTTGTCCTCTTCCTAGTAGGGCAGTTCCAGGCATATTGTTTGGATAACTTTTAAGAAGAGACTGCTGATTTGAGACTTGGACATCAGACCAGCACTTTTTTTAAGGGCATGAAAACATCTACTTTTTAAAGCCAGGATAAAAATTCTCATGAGTGATCAGGAATTGGGAAGAAATTAATCTCTGGTATGCATCTGAACAGGGATTTGCTCCATTAAAAACAGTAATGAAAGATGAAATGAAGGAAGCCAGTCAGATAGTCCAATGCCACCAGTTGTGTGGTTTGTGAGATGTATTTATTTTTAAAATCTTCTTTAAATGAATTGTCCTTTCACAGTCCATGAAAGTCTGTTTGCTCTCCAACCTGTAACTGATTCATACAATGGCTGGCTGATGAACAAGGGCTGGCCCACAATTTGGTGCTGGGACATTGCAGTGCTTTTAAATGCTGGCGCTCTCAACTTACCCTCTTCCTTTCCTTGCAGCTTTAGCAGGTCTGTTGATTCCTATACTTAGCTGCTGCTCGTGAGCTGCTTTTCCATAGTTTCCATTATGGTGACTTTGTGTGGTGGTTTCCCCTCACCTTTCTCCCCCCCAGTACTTGTAAGTTTTAATGACCCATGTAGAATATCCCTAACATGCACTATTCCTAATGAGCACATATCTCCTTTTTATTTTAAATAGAACAGACTTTTCTGGTGGTATGGCTCATGAAAGAAGAGCATATCTTTTATGCTTGTATGTGGGTATTTTTCTCTGAAACTGAACTGGAATAAGGAAACGATTAGCGACTAAGAACAGAGCTTTGAGAACATGGGTGAAAGGAGTTAAATTGGAATCCAAGGCTAACTACACTGGTCCCTCTTTGTTGCTGCTAAAAATCTATCAAGAATGATTTTTTTAAAATCTTGAACCCAGAAGCATGCTTAATACTTCCCAGCTAAAGTGCTTTTATAATGCATACCCTGTTTCTGCCAGTGTGCTCTGTCCTACCTTCTCACTTGCATTAGGTGTGGAGAGTTGACACTTCCCAGTGACTTTTTTTTTCTTTTCTTGACAGTTGTGTGTGCAGTACCTGGAAACCAGTCTGATACTTGGGTTCTTAACTTAAGGCACTTAAACTTTGAATAGTATCTACAATTATTTTTCACATATAAAAATACATGTCTGAGAAAATGTCCTCTTGTGGTAAAGCATCTTATTTTTTATATAGGGTACAGCGGCTGGGAGAGTAAAGTATAGAACTAGAAGGGAAATTTACCAGAGATCTGATACCTATTTAAAAAAAATCCCAATGGATATAAACCTCTTTCCCCAGTCTCATTTCTCTCGACTCTGTGTTCTTATTTATAAACACTTTTTAAAGACAATATGGACTGGGTTATTTAAAAAAATCTTAGGATCTCTTTGTTCCTGTGATAACAGGGGCAGGCTAATAACTTGTCGATAATATGATTCACCTACCTCTGACCTGTAGTTTTGGTAGATACTAACTTAACTAATAGAATCTCCTTCCATAGGATTCTTTTAGGCTTGTTTTTGATTATACTTCATAATGATACTGGAGATGAGCCAGGCATATAGTGTTTGCAGAAGTCCTCCAAAAATCAGTTATCACTGATGAATATCAAAATAATAAGCCACCATGTGCCAAATCAGCTGCTTATGTAGTTACCAAGGAAATGAGTGAGGTGTTTGATTTGAAGTCAGGAATGGGTTGGGAACAGGTGATTAAGGGGTGGAGCTGTAACATGCAGTGATATAGCATGTTAGTTTCTTGCTCATTTTTTCAAATAAAATAGAAACTAGTACCTCTGCAGGAGCAGAAGTGCGTAAATAACCTTACCATGAAAGAGAGAGAATTCTCATTACCAGGGATCCTGGCTTTCTTAGTTTAAAAAATACAAATGCACACTGTACTTGGAGGTTAAGTGTAGATGTTGTCCTGCATCGTTTGAAGGATCTGCACACCAGGGCTAAGTACAGGTGGTCAAAAAGGTTGAGGCTGAATCTTCCATCTTCACAGGTTAGTCTAATCTGCATAGATTGAACCAATAAGCGAGTGAACAGACATTCACTTTTGATTTCAGAAATGCAGCCACATTCCTGCAGTGTCCCAGGCCAGAAGTCGGGGTGCAAGAGCACACCTCCCTGCATGGGTGGAGCAGACAGCTTGGGCCAAGGCTAGCCTGCCCACCCTGAAGCGGGGGGGGTGTTTTGTGAGGGAGGTGGAAAGCATTCTGGGCTTCTGGGGGACCATGCGTTAACTTGAATCTGGAGGGGATCTGGGACAGAAGTTCAATAAATTGATTTAGGTTAAATCAGTTAAGTCTGATAATACATTCATCCAGGTTTATTTTAAACTGGTTTCACCCATTTTGAAAGTGGTTTATATGCACTGAACTTCCGCTGCGTTACAGATTTGAACCAGTTTCCAATCACTTGTACCGGTTTATGTGGAATTTCTGTTTAGGGCAAGAAACCACTTATTGTTTTGTTCTGTGTATAGATCAGTGATTCTAAACCTTTTTAAACCCAAGAAACCTCATTTCAGAAACTAATTTTCTACAGTGCTTAGCTTCTTGCAGAGGTTCCATGCAGTGGGGGTGGGGAGCAGCCAGGCAGAGAGAGTCTAAGCCTGCCTCATCACCAGTTTATCTTCACACCTGGAGCCTCAACCTTCCTTAATTAGCTTATCTCTTGCTTTAGATATCTCCTCACATGTCTGTGTTACCCTTCAAACCAGCTCTCAGTACCCTGGTTGAAAATCTCTGGTCTAGATACTAATGGTCTTTATCCTGTAGTACAAAAGCTGCTGAAGGAGGGTGTTGCAAAGGTGATGAGTCTGAAGTGGAATTGCTTTGGGTGGGCTAATTGCTGAAAATATCAGTGTTAAACTCTTTCCTATGGTGCTGCTGTAACATGGCTTCACCACTTCATGTTGAGGAAGCAGCAGGTGTTCAGGGCATCATGGTGTGCTTGAGCATGCAGCTGCTGGGCACAGTCAGCTTGTAGTATGGACCTGCCCTGAACCCCCTTGACCAATCTGATTTTTAATAGTTTAGGACAGAACCCTAAAATATACAGTGGTGGTCAAATGAATAATGATAAACTTTTCTGATATGTGTTTTTAGCCTTTTACATTTTAGCCTTATTACATGGGGAAAAAATGTGTGCTTTTGCCATATAATGTAGTTTTTAGATGAACTTTAGTTTTGTGGCTGTTCTACAAAAAAAAAAAAAAGCATTTTCCTAGAGCATATATTTAAAGTAGAGATGGTCTTGCTCAAGCAGGACCCAGATGAGCAGAAAGCTTTAGTTCTATACAAAACTTAACAGGTTGGTGGGGTAGGTGGATGAGTGGAGTGTGGGTTTGGGGATAGGTTTCTTCCGGAATAAAAGTTAGTAGTTGTCCAGTAGATGCTTCTAGCATCTACTAGTTGTGAAAAATCTATTGCAACTTCTCCAGGGAAAAGGAAGTGAAGCCCAGATTTTGGCTTAATAAAACTCTTTCGTTTTAGACATCTCACAATAAGGAACTAAACTTCGTGATGACACACATTCTTACTCAGGGCAGCAAATCAGTAGTTTTCTGATGCAGAATAAGTCACAGCCATGGGGGGCGGGTCTCATGACGCAGAGCAGGAGGAAGAATATAAATTGTAGATTGCAGAACAGATCATGTGTTTCTTAAATTGAATTTCTGCAGAATGCAGAGAACAACTATAAGGCAGTAGCCTAAAATATGCTTCCCTTGTTTGGTTTTACAGATTTATTTGGTTAGTACAGTCAGTGTTACCTGATATGAGACTCATTAATGTTAGACACATCCATAAAATTCCTTTGACACATCAGAGTTGAACTTGACTTCAGTTTATTTCTGATTGGTTCTGAAGTCAAAGAAAAACTGACAAAAGAAAATGGCATTAATTTTTTATACCTGTTATACTTTTTAATGTTTTTTTTATTTTATTGAATTACAAAAAATAAATACTGTATTCACTATTTTTAACTTTTAACTGTTGAGTGCTAAATCTGATATGTTTTGTGGGGTTTTTTAGTGTAGGCAGTTTAATTGCCACCTTTTAAAGGGCCAATGCATCAACTTTTGAGTTATTTTTCTAAATGGCTTCATAACGAAGTATACTTTACACTGGAAACAGATGTATGCATGATGATGAGATTCTTGTGGGGCAGAGAAAAGGAGGATGGTATCCCAGAATTAAAAACAAACAAACAACACCCTTTCCCCTCAGGTAAGCCTAGTATTTTGAACCATGAAGAATCCTCATCCTACACATTCATTCTATACACTCTGCCCCCTACGCACGCACGCACGCACACACGCCTTGCTTGAGTGCCATACCATTGTCCCAGGTCAGGAGTTCTCTGGATAGAGGGCTTGTGTCCATAGATGGAAAAGACCACCAACAATAAAGAGCACATTCATTTATCTTCCTAACTTGGACCTGTTAGGGTAGTTTTTTCTTTAAATTGCTCTTTAATGATCCATAATTTGTGGTAACAATGAGAAGCTTTAGCTCTTTCTTGTTATTATATGCCAGTTGCAGAAGTAGTGATGGCCATTTCAAAAACAATGACTTTAATTATTTCTTCCTTTCTGTGAATGCTGGATTGAAGATGAAAAAAATGGAATGTTGAATCGTAAATCGTATAGGGGAGACTAACTGCACTATCCTGGAACAGATTATATTGTGTCCTAACTTCATACCTGCCATCAGGCCAATTTCATGTTTATATTGGACTTCCGATATGCTCCCAAATAACACTTCTGGTCTACAAATAATGACTTATTGCAAAGACGGGCTCACCAAAATTATTTGATATGAGCAGGGTATAATAGGACTGAGCAACAGTAGGCTGAGACCTCTGGTCGGCATACTTTGAAGTGCAACATGCTGGATTCCATGGGAGACTTATGAGCCCCAGCTTCAGTGATCCATAGCATTTGCTTCCAGCCCTTCTCTCTAATAACACTTCTAAAAATAACACCTTGACTTTTTTATTAAAAAGTCTTCAGGGGACTGCATCTAAAATGCACGATATACTTGGCAGCCTCTGGTTCCTAAATTCTTGAAGACAAGGGTACAAAATTAAAACTTTTTTTTAATGTAGATGGCTGATAATAGTAAGGACAAGTATATAGTCTCTGTCACAATTTTATTTTGTTTAGCCACAGCTTGCTAAAGTTTCTTTCAACGTTTTGAGGAACTTTGAGTTCCTGTCAACTCTAGTTTTTTTTTCTCAAATCCTTTACTTGACTATGAATCTGTAAACAGACAGTTGCATATAGATTCCACTATCAATGAGTGTCTAGGATGGGGGGTTCTTCATGGTTCAAGATACTAGGCTTGCCTGGTTCCACTCCTTTCTCTGAGCCTGAATTTGCCTATTCACTTTCAGCTTTGTCAGTGGAAACAGGCTTTCACCAGACCTGGATGGGAAGCTAGTTTCTAACAAATTTGCTGAAACTTTGCAAAGCAGAAAGGACTCAAAGCTCATCTGTCAGATGCAGAAAGCAAAATGAAAAATAAATATGGTCTAACTACTATCATCAGAGTAATCATAAAGTTATGTAACTCTAGCTAAAAGGATTAAGCAGAAATATGTGACTTCATGTTGATACATTCCGTGTGTGGTCATTTATCCCTGAAGACATGATTTCGAACTCTTCTGCCATTCTTGCTGTATAGGAAATCTTATTTCAATTCTGTGTTTCTTCTGAGATGCCATGAATCTGCGCTATAAATATGTACTTGCCATTGCTTCATCTAGGAGCAAAGGAATCTTTTTAATTAGATTCTCCTGAAATTAATCTCGAATTTCAGGGGTATGATTTTTTGGAAAAGGGTGGTGGTGCTATTGAAGGACTTGAGATTATCCCCTGTATCCCACCCCCACCTCCATAAAGCTATTTTTGCAGAAGCTAGATTTTATTTATGAACTTGCATGTGATGGTTACAGCTGATCAAAGAAACTTTTGGAAAACATTTTTGCAAGTAAATTACTAAGTAATTGAAAAACACAGTATTTTTCTTAGTCTATGCCAGTGGTTCTCAGCCTTCTTAGACTCAACACACTTTTCACTAGACTTTGGGCACTTCTTGGAAAAATGCCAGCTCTTAGTTTTTGCTCTTTTTTTGACTACAGAGAAATAAGAGAACAGTTCTTCTGTTGCAAGGAACTCAAAGACCTCAAAGTCAGAATGCTTTTAAGACTATGGATTCCTATTTGAAATGTCTGGGTTTATCTTGTAAATTGTTTGCACACTTAACAGTGTTAACATTGCTTGGTGCCCTACAGCACCTCTGAAAGGTTCTTAAGGCACCCCAGGGTGCCATGGCACCCTGTTGAATCACTTACCTGTGTAGTGTGCATGCATATATATAAATATGTACATAGCTACTTTGAAATTTGTCTGCCATATGTGAATCAACATATAACTTTACTCATTTTGTATATTACTGAGGGCGCACTTGTTGGCCTCAATTCCTCAATCCATTTTAAGTGGTGTTTAAGCCTTTCTCTTT